TACAACTTCTAACACACCCACTAATTCATGTTTTTAATACTTCTTATCAGGATGCTCCTCTTTAACTCGTCGAACCTGACTTTCTTCAGGGGTTTGGTGAGTATGTCAGCTAGTTGCACTTATGTCTTGCAATGCTTGGGTTCAAGCTTTTCTTTGTTGACATGATCCCTCAGAAAATGATATCTCCTCTCTATATGCTTACTTTGACCATGACACATTAGATGGTTTGCCAAGTTGATAGTTGACTTATTGTCAACAAACAGCTTCATTTTCTTAGGTTCCATTAAATTAAGCTCTTCAAGCAATATCTCTATATATGCTGCTTGACATGTTGTATATGATTCAACCACATACTCAACTTCACACGATGATAAAGTCATAATGCTTTGCTTCATTGAGCTTCATGAGATTGGAGGGCCTTTGATCATGGGTGTGTATCCAGCAGTACTCTTCTTTTCGTCTTGATCTCCATTGAAATATGAATCAGTGTAGCCATATACTTCTACATATGTGTTGGTCTTCATATGCCTCGACATCAACACACCATGATCAATCGTACCCTTTATGTATCGCAACACCCTTTTAACTACAATGAGATGATATTCTTGGGGTTTCTCAATGAATCTACTCAATAATCCAACACTTTGACAAATGTATGGCTTAGTATTGCAAAGATATATAAAGGATCCAATGATTTTCTTGTACTGTGTCGCACTTACCAACTCATCATTTGTCTCCTTCCTCAACTTTGCTCCCGTTTCTAATAGCGTAACAGCTGTATCACAGTCACTAATCCTAAACCTATTCAAGATATCTTGGCCATACTTCTTCTGATGCAGGAACACCCCTTTACACGTGTCTTTGAACTTCATCCCTAAGAAATATGAAAAATTCCTAGGTTGGATGTTTCAAACTTTTGCATCAGCTTCAACTTGACTTTTCTTATCTCAACTTCATTTGCACATGTAATAAATAAATAATCTACATATAGACATATGTTGATTTGACTGACCCTGTCTGCATCATTGACATGCACTCTAATTCAAAGACATACTTTGTGAATCATGCTTTGATCAGGAAGCCATTTATTTTCTCATTTCAAACTTTTGGAGCTTACTTCAAACCGTAAAGAGTTTTCCTCAATTTGTACACCTTCGGCTCATGCCCTTTGATTTTGAATTCTGGTGGTTGACTGGCATAGATTTCTTCTTTTAGAAAAGCGTTCAGAAATGCTAATTTTACATCCAATTAATGTATTTTCGAGCCTTTGTATGCTTCTATCGACACAACAATTTTGATTGTCTCCAACCTTGCAACAGGTGCGTAGACTTTATCAAAATCAATACCAGGTTTTTGCAGAAAATCTTTCGCGAATAAACTTGCCTTATACTTGGAAATTTCTCCATTCGGCCTTCGTTTTAGCTTGTAAACTCACTTCACATCAATTGGCTTCTTGACTGACTTTTCAACAAGCTCCCAGATTTTATTCTTCTCGATTGACTTGGGTTCTTCTTTCATGGCTACTAACCAATTCAAACCGTTCATGACTTGGTCCAAATTGATTGGTTTTGCTTCAGCCATCATCAATGTTTCTTCTATTAAGTCACCATTTGTATCGACTGCTTGATCTGAAAATCTTTCATATCTAGTTAGCCTTGTCGACTCAGTTCTTGTTCTAGTCAATCTTCTAACGTTTTGCTCAGGTGGCTCCTCATTTAGATTTGTTGGGACTTCATTTTATTGTTCTTATTCAAACACAGACGTGACTGTATCTGACTCCTACCGAACAGACCCTTGACTTCAATCTCACCCTTTGCTTTCATACACTATAACATCTCAATTGATCACAAGTTTATCATCGTTTGGTGAATACAATTTATATGCATCAGTCGAATGATAAAATGAGCACCACAATCTGAATTTGCTCATCTTTTGTTTCTTCCTCAATTGTTTAGGTACATGTCTGAAGCACATTGGTCCAAACACTCTAAGATGACTAACATTCATTTTCATACCTGTCCAAGCCTCATAAAGATTCTTCTCAACCATCTTCTTGGTTTGACATCTATCTAGAATGTATACTGTTGTCAAAGCTGCTTCATCCTAAAATCTCTTTGGCATATTTTTAGCTTTCGACATGCTCCTAGTCATGTTCAATATACTTTGATTCTTCCTCTAATCTATGTCATTATGATGAGGCGTATAGGGTGCAATGCCCTCATGTTCTATACATTCTTTATTGCAAAATCCAGCAAATTCTCGAGAGTTGTATTCACCACCACCATCAGTTCTCAATTTTTTCAACGTCCATCCATTTTTATTTTCGACATGAAATTTGAACTTCTTGAACTGTGTGAATACCTCATTCTTCCTTTCAATAAGATAAACATATATCTAGTGAATTTATCTATTAAGGTTAGGAATTAGTAGTTACCTCCATTTAATATCACTCCAAATAGTCCAACACACATCAGAGTGAACTAACTCTAGCTTTTCCTTTGACCTCATTGACAAGTCATGCTTGAATTCTTTCCTAGCCTGTTTTGCTTTGCAACACTCCTCACACGCCTGAATTGGTTCTTTCACCTGAGGTAAGCCATACACCATCTTCTTCTGGTTGAGCATACCTAAACTTTTGAAGTTTAGATGTTCATACCTATGATGCCATAGCTAGTTCTTGTCTTTCTTCCGCAGTTGAGGAAAGACACTTGTGATTAATTAGGTTGATATCTACTTTGAAAGTCCTTTGTCTGCCAAGGGTGCCTTCAGAATCAACTTGTCATCACTATGATACACCTTCATATGATTCTTTTATATCTTCATGTTGTACCCTTTTGCAAGTAATTGACATACACTTATCAAGTTACTTATCATCGATGGTACATACAACACATCAGTGATGATGGCTTTTCGACCATCCATTCTGACAATAGAAATATCATTTATCCACCTAATGTGATGTGCCTGCTATCTGCAAATTTTATCACTTTCTCGACTGATTCATCTAGCTTGGCGAACCAGGTTTTATTGTCAGTCATGTGGTTACTGCATTCTGAATCCATGTACCACATGTTGGTTTGCTCAGTGTTTGACTGAGTGTTGGCCATGAGTAGCATACTGCACTTCATCACTATCTTTTGACTGTGCTTCATTCTTTCTTCGACAGTGTCGAGCATAGTGACCAAATCCTTGACAGTTGTAACACCGCACCTCCTTCAAGTCAACTTTCTCCCCGGAATACTTGTTGCACATGCCTTTCTTGATCGAATCAGAGTGATTCTTTGAGTTCTTGCTTGATTTCTAATCATCGGCAAGATTATTTCCCTTATCTTTCCCAAATTTCTTGATGAATCCTGCTTGTAGTGCTTGTTCAGTCACATTCTCCCTTTTTTAGTTCCTCTACTTCAGCCTCATCACATAACCCTCTAATGTAGCTTAAATTTCTTCTAACTTCATCTCAACTAGATTCTTGGACTCTTCAATTGACACTATAATATAATTAAATTTTGTAGTCAGATATCTCAACACTTTCTCAATCTTCTACAAATCATTGATTGATTCACCACACGACTTCATCTGGTTCGTTAACAACACCACACATAAAAGTTATTCTAAAACTGATTTATCTTCCTTCATCAGAGTCATCTCAAATTGTTTTCTCAACATCTGCAACTTCACACTCTTCAGCTTTTCATCTCCGTCGTACAAGCTTTTCAACAGGTCCTATGCTCCTTTTGTCGTTTCTTCTTCAATAGTCTTTTCAAACACATTATAATCCACACACTAGTGAATAGATCTTTTTCATCTTTCTTTCTTTGTTCCTTGTGCACAGCTTGCCAAACATCATCTGCATTCGCTTTCAATCTCGGTACTCTATCGTTCACGATTTCAGACACGTCTTAAAATTTAAAGATGACTTTCATCTGTGCAACCCACCGATAATTTCCCCCTTTAAAAATTGATAGATTCATTGAAAATTGTGTTAATGTTTTTGTTCTGTTTGTCATTACAAATTCTCTCTAAAGCGCAACCGAACTCCTTGATATCAATTTGTTGGAACAAAATATTTTCAGAAAAGATGAAAGATAGAGAAAAAGAAGGAAGAAAAGAGAGAAAATTGAAAATTGGATTATGAAAAATTAGGGTCTGAGTGGAATTGATGTTTACACTATCCAATACCCTTTATATAGGCAACTAAACCTAAGTCCAAATTATATACAAAGTGACCCAAACCCAAAACATATAAAATGTAAAGTAAAAAATTACAAATTAATCTCTTCATCAGAACATCGAATTATATTTTTTTAAAAATGGTTGTAACTTCATGCTCATTGGATAATTTACTTCTAACTCATGGTGTAATATGTTACCTCCAGAATTATAAAGCGCAAACATTTGTTTTAAAATATATGAATATAAATTATTGTGTTTGGATTTTCTTTGGATGCTTCATATTCACACTTTGATTTATTATATTGATTTTCTTCTAAATCTTTCAAAATGCTTCAAATACTTAATTATATCTAAGAGTCTTTGTAACCTTAAAATTAAACTTGATAATTTGAAGGCTTTCAAATTTTTTCTACTTCGTTATAGCCATACATGAACTTCTTGAAGTCATTAAGAAAATGAGATTCACAGTTCATTAAATTTTCTACATGCACATAAACCATTATAAGTTTTTGGCATAACCTCAACTAGTACTTGCTCGCTCTTGATCAATACAAATTGTTTCAATAATGTTAAAACATATTTTTAAGAGTTAAATAAACTTTTGATTAGTATAAATATAAAATAAAATAAAAAAATTATCTTTAAGAGAATGCGCATAAATACTTCGCCCTTTAAAATTAAATTAACTGTGATATATTTAACTGTGTTTCACATACTGATACAACTATTACCATAGCAAAACAGGTTTTCTTACCAAATTATCAAATTTGATAATTTCAAAATGCATTTTTGAATGTTCTCTTCAACATACCTGTGTTAGATTAAGATCATGGCTTCTTTATCCTAGACCTAAGTCTTCCAGCAACACTGTCTGGGCTAGGTTTGCTGGACGAAGCAAGTACCTTCACGGTATCCGAACTACCCTCGACTTTTTCTTCAAGCTGATCAGCAATTAGCTTCACGGTATCCGAACTACCTCCAACTTTTTCAAGCTGAACTTGCTCATCAGGGAAAATCAATGATCTCTTTGCAGCAACCTCGTCGCCATCAGTTTCAGTTGGAGACTGTATTGGTCCAAGCTTATTCTCATTGTTGTCTGCGTCTGAGAAAGGTAGTGACCTTTTAGCTGAAATAGTGTTGGAAACTTCGTCAATTTTCTTAACATCTGTATCTGAAACTGGGTTGGAAGTTTCATCGTTTTTCTCAACAGCTTCTGCACGACGGGTGTGAATCAGGTAGTGTGCAACTGATTTGTAACCCAACTGCACTACCTAAAACAAGGAGATATTTGAGAGCTTAGGTAAAATTCAATCTTTGGAAGACAAAAAATTACGCGTTTTGGTAAAGAATTAGGAGTAACCTTTCTATATAGATAACCAGTAGGTGCCCATCCTTTAGCATTGCGGCATAAGCTGCAGTTGCAAATTCCACGACAAACCGGGCACTTCCAAGTAGGATCTGCCAAGGCTTCTAGTACATGTTCTCCATATCTACAAAAGTAGTATAAGAAAATGAAGCACCGTATAAAGTTACGTGTACTCCAAGGTATTATTCCTTTATAATCCAAGTGTGGAAACACATCTAAAACCATTTTCAGGATTTGCCATGCATACATAAATTACGCCAGAGTTTGAACATATCCAAGAGAGAACCCAAGGAATCAAAAAGAAAGAGAAAGTATCGACTTAGAAACTAGAGTATCGACATTATCCCGATTTATCCATAAAAATACCAACCAAATCAGCATGTGAAGACTGCAATATCTCTTACCATTGATGTTAGGGAAGAAATATGTAGAGAAAGCATACCTCATGTACAAGCAATCTCCACAAAACTGCCCCTGGACCATGTTGCACTCGCAACAGCGTGTCCGAAGACCAAGAGTTTTTTGCCTACAAAACATTAGTTTCATTTGGTGAGCTAGTTCATCACGAAACCAAGTTTACTAGTTATAAGAAAAAAAATTAAACTGAAAGAAAATATTCCACAGCTCTAGCGAGAAATTCAAGTCAGGAAGCAGAATGCTCTCAAGTTAAAAATTGGAACACTCTTGTGAATATTCCTATGAGCGTTAGTAAAATTCATTTAGTCCAAATTTAGAAAGATTTGTTTGCTAGAATGACGTGGCAATGGAAAGTTCTAGAAGTCTGAGTTTTAAAATAACTTCTATTCCAATGAAAATCCCCGGATTTGAAAAAGAAAAAAACATTTGTACCAAACTAGAAAAAGTAATATTCCCAAAGTCAGTTTAACAGAACTGTTGTTGCATGTCTTGAAACAAGCACACCTTATGTAATGTATGCAGAGAGATATTAACTCCACCCAATATTTCATTGCAGGAATTGAGTTCACTCAGGTTGCATTAACAGTTATTTAGCTAAAATAAACTCTAACTGGACTTGACTTTCAACAAATAATTGACAGTAAAATAGTCAACCACATGTGTTGTCAATTGTTGATTGCAAAAAATAGTGATTTGTTCAAATTTTACTACCCTACAACCCTATAGCCGCTTTTTGACAACACTATTAAATCGATAAACAATAGTGGTTTGTACAAATTATGCTACAGCCGAATCAGCTGTGAAGACTGAAAGACTCGAGAACCAGCAAAACACTACTAGCAACCCCAACAAAAATCCATCAAATAAATACAAATGGCTGTCATGCAATAAAAACAGATAGTGACATTTTATTTTCCAACCTAAACTAAGTGTATGTTTGGTATAGCTTCTTTTCACCACCACCATACAAATACCTAGCATTTCAACGTGAAATATAGAAGCTACAGACTGGAGCTTCTATGTTACCATGAGTTTTAACCATGATTTCCCCTATCGTGCCGCTATATCAAATAAATGCTAAATGAATGCACTTACTTTTCAAAGTATTGTTATCATATTACCAGGAGTACATACTCCCTTGGTTTCAAAATAAGAGTCATTTTATCATATAAAATATTCTAAAATAAAAGTCGTTTTGTTTCTTCAACGTGACATTCATCTTTTTTCCCTATTTTAGCCCTAAATTAATGATTCACTCCACCATTTTCAAGTCATTATATCCTACTATACATTTATGCCAATGATTTTGTAAAATCACAAGATTCTTTCATTTATTTAGTGTGAAAAAGCTTAGTACCACAATTATTTTTTAATGGTGTGAGTACATAATAAAAACACACAAGAAAACAACAACAACAGTAGTGGTCAACAACAACAGTAGTGGTTTTTTTATTAATTTCTTGCAAAGAGTACATAATACAAACACACACAAAAACAAGAACACCAGTAGTAGTCATTTATTAATTTCTTGCAAAGAGTATGGCATGTTACCAGCAAATCATGTTCTGGAAAGTGCTATTCAGACACTAAATTAATAAACGGTAAAAACCCATATCATGGCAGACAGATAACGTACCTCAAACCACTCATAAACAAATTCATTTCATAATGTACAATGATAATGTACCTCAAATCACTCATAAACAATAAACAATGCAGCACTGATACCTCTTAAAAAAAATGTGTCCTTGTCAGTGTCCTAAAACCGCCACTGATACTTGTAATCACGTTTAATTTATTCATTTTTAAAAATTATTATCAATGTCGATATGGCGGTGTCAATGTTAGTGTTGTGTTTCAAGTGTTAGTGTCTGTGTTTCCGGTGTCCGTACTTCATAGCTCATCAACAATTTCATTTCATCTTGTACAATGATAACTTGTTTAGGGAGAGAGAATGAGACTACCTGCACTGATGGCAAGTTTTGCCTTGAACAGAATCATAGATCCTTTTCCCATCTTTTCCAATACCATCCACAAAAAGCTCCCAAGTTCTCTCAGTATTACCCAAAAGCTTCTCATGTTCTTCAGTATAAACCTCAGGCTGAGAACCTTCTCTTATCACAACCCTAGTTTTTTTCTCACCCACTTCTCCCTTCAATGGCGCTTCTGAGTAACTAATAGGAGCAACATTCTGTAACCTAAAAAACAAAACAAAACAAAACAACAACAAATAAAAAAGCAAGCTTTTGTTTTGCATGTTACATTAAAGATCAAATTTTTATTGCGAAAAACAGAAGAACCTGGAAGAACGGCGAGAGGGGCCAGATGGGTTACGAGAAACAGGCGATTTAGGGTTATACGGAGTTCTTCGTGAAGATGGGGTTGATTTGAGCTTGAGGGAAAGTGAAATATCGAAAATGCCCAATTTTCCCATTCTCTCGCGATTTTCGCGGATTCTTTCTTCTCTAGAGAGTTCGTATTGGGACATTTTGGATTGATGATCATCGATTGGAGTGAAAGGTTGAAGGTTTTGGATCTCTGATCGAGATCGCTTGCTGAGAGGAGGCATTGAAGAATGAGGGTTTGAAGTTTGAAAAGTGAAGTGAGGCTGCAACGGTCGAGTTGAGTGGTTTTGATTTGGAATTGAAGAGGAGGAGACTAAAGAGAGGGAAGAGAAAGTGACAAAAACTAATGGTCTTCTTTGCCTATTTATTGATCTAGTATGAATATATTTTTGTACTTAAATATTATAATAAATTTATTAAAAAAAATTGAGAGATGTCTTATATGAGATCTAATAGAACATTGATCATTATTGGTTTATAATAAAATTTGTATATAAATTTAAAATATTATATTTTAGTGTTATATTTTGTTTTAAAAATTAGTGACTATTAGTAATATGAGAGTGATGGTTAGCTCATTTGATAGTTGTGCATGACATCCGATTGAAATTGTGCATGTTCGAATATGTGATTTCTTGATTATTTATCTTTAAGGGGGTAAAATTTCAATCATTAGACTACTGGAGAAAAAAATAATACAGAATAAAATTTTTTGGATTGAACTCTTTACTAAAAAAAATGGTTAATTGGTATTTTGTCATATGCCATATGACCGAGTTTTAAAAAACACCCTTGTATAAAAATGAATTATTTTCATAACATTTGAAGATTCATCTATTCAAACACAGGTTTTTTTGCTCAAACAAGCGCTTTGTCATTAGGGTACACGTTTTGGTTTGATATAAGTTTCTTGAGAAATATATTTATAAGACAATTAATTTTATCTCATCATAAAAGTATTCATTTTCCATTTCCTAAAAAAATTATCCATTTTCTCCAATTCAAGTTTCTTTTATGGTTTCACCCATTGTCACAAAAACAAACAAACCATGATGTCCATTATCATCGACAATCTTCAATTTATGTGTTTTAAAAATAACCATCTCATTATGCTCATTATTCTTCCTAAAAGTTGCATAACATCTTCACTAGGATCAATGTTCTCTCTAACGACACCAATCTGCAAATTTTTCTCCAAGTCATAAAATCAAATATCATCATTTGTTATTGTTCATGAATTATTAAATAACTTGGGAGAAAACTCCATTTTCTCTAGATAATGATCAACCTGTTCACTATTGACACCAATCACCATGTTTTCCTCCACATCATAAAATTCAACTTCTTTTAGTGTCACTTATATATGTACTATGTAGATTGAACCAATCATTTTCTCTATCCCTATCATGTTGTTTGTTTGCAAAAAAAGAAGATTGCAATTTTTTCTAGGTTTATATGAAGGTTGAAGATGAAGATAAGAACATAATTCTAAAATATAATCATTAATTTGGTCCTTAAATGCTTTAGGGACTGAATTAATCATCGAATTCTAGAATTGTGTTCATATCTTCATCCTCAACTTTCATACTAGCCTAGAGTTTTTAACATATCTTTGTCCCTAACTTTAGTGACCGAGTCATGGTTGACTTAATAAAAACATCAAACAATTGGTTTCTTAATATTTGAGATTTATTGAAATTGTAAAAATGTTTACAAATATCAAATTAGTCAACATCCTTGTTCATCTTCATAAATTATTTTGGCATCCAAGTAATATTCTTCATCATTCCTACCAACAAAATATGTAATTTTTTAGGGATTTGTTAATAATATCCTTTCAATTTGTGAAAATCTTGTTAGAAAAGAAATTGTGTTTTGCAGCTAAGTAACTGATTTTTGAAAAAAGAAACTAATACTATTGAGCATAGTAGCAGCAACCATAACATTCATATGATTTTGGGTTGGATGAAGATGAATATGATGAAGTGAGAAGATAAAGATGATGAAAGTATGTAATAACTATATTTTTTGGGACACTTTGACAAACTAAATTCGCTAGTCTAGTGGCAGGCGCTTCAGGATTTGGTGAAAGGTCCTGAATTTTTTTGGGCTAAATTTTTTATTTTATTTTAATATTTTAATATCCAAAGTCTAAAATAATAATAATAAAGCCTTGGTGGATTTAAAAAATAAAAAATTGAAAAGAAAAAAAAAACAACTAGGCAATCAACATCATTTTAAAATAAAAAATAAAAAATGTTTGTCACGATAAAGATTCTGGAGACTTGGTTTAATGAAAGACCGAAACAAGGGAATCTTTATATGTTAGGGATGAAATCAAAATTTTTTTACAGAAAATTCTTTCAAAGTTCTCCTTTAAGCACCTTAGTGTTACGACAAAAAAATACTTGATTGTTCGCACGCTCGAAGTGATAACAGAGTCGCCACCGAAGTTTATTTATTCCAAAAGGAAAAACAAAATATCGATAAAACCCCCAAAAGAAAAAGAAAAAGGTCATTGCAACCAAATTTAGATTCGGGAGTCGGTTATGTGAGGGGAAAATATTAACACCCCTAACATCCGTTGTGTTCAATGGGAACTATTTATTTAGTTTTACGAATAAGAGTATTAGCGTAATGTTATTTGAGATCTTCTAATTATTAAAAGTTTGAAGGAAGGAAAAAAGAAAATGACTAAAAAATAAGTTTTTTTTTATTAGGGTACTTTGCAAGATTGCGAGTTTTACTCCTACGTGTCCTCACGTGTGATGAGGAATTCAAAGCTACGTGATTTTGAGTAGAAAACCACATATGTGTTGGTTGATTTTAGTGAACGGTGTTTAGATCGCACTCTAGCGATTATGTTCCTCGTATGCTCGCGCGTGAGAGGCTTAAGTATTTGTTGTATCGCGGTAGAATGCATCATATTTGATCGCATTCTAGCAATCAAATATTACTTATATGCTCACGCATGGGAGACTTAAGCATTTGTTTGTATCGCGTTAGAATGGATAAAACATCGTTTGTTTGTGAAAAGTTTAATTTTTATTGCACTTGGGCAAAAACTAAATTTGATTGGTTGAGTTTGTTTTTGAGTGGATGACGAATATTCTAAAGGCAAGCTATACAGAAGGTATCTATTCTGGACTAGGCTAGAGGCTGGACAACCGTCAGGCATGGTCCAACCCAACTCCTCATTGGGGAGGGCCCAGTTCGGCCCAATCCCTCAGCCCACACTGGGAGCGCTCACGCGTCTTCCTAAAGTCTCCACGTGCTCCCCGCGCGAGTGCACGTCATCAAGCAACTACTCGCGTCCGAAAGAACAGGTCACCCACCTTCAAAAGATTACGGGGTAGTTGACCTAGGACAAAGACCATGTGCTGGTCTTCTCTACGCCATGTAGATCCTGGCAGTTATCCGTATTGGGCCTGAAGATCCAACCCAATACAGATGATTGTTGGCCCAGCGCTGAGGCACATTATAAATACCCTCTTCCACAAGAGGGTCAGGTATTCAAAACTCACTTGCTTCTGTACTTGCCCACTCTCTCCCTTTTCTCACTTTGGCATTAGGGTGTCTTGCAAGTACACCTTCCTCCTCTTTTCTACCACCAGCGAACTAGGAGCTCACGACGCATTGTTGGCTGCTGATCTCTTTTTGGTCTGGTATGATCAGTGGCGTCATTTGTGGAAACTCTTGTTTCCCCGTTCTTTCTTCCTCAGAAACCAAAAAACCAAAGCATATCTCAACTTTCATCAATCATGGTCAGCCCACGCGTTGATGATAACCTCTATGAAACTGCTTTCACCACCTTCACCAACGACGACGACCATGATCTTGACATGGTTGTCTCCGTCGAGGAGGGTGACCACAGGGACGGGTGCATCGCCTCTCCCTCCTCCAATGATGTGGCTGACAATGCCGCCTAACGATTCGACAATCTTGTTATTTTCCAACTCCTTCCTATACCGCCAACACCGACTCGACCATGGTTGCCTTGTTTGCGGCGATCAACTAGACAAACCTCATGATGTTCCAACATAATGAACGAATTGGGATGCTAGAAAAGAAGTGACAATCACACTCTCCCCTGTGGAGACATAGGCGTCCAATTTCTTGCAGCTTGTCCCCTAGACGGTGAGAAACACGTCCCATTTCTCTCCCGTAGAGACATCAACAGGACGAATCTTGAAGCCTTTTGTCGCGACAATATGGATGTTGCCTACTACTAGAAAGGCCTCAGTCCGTAGCAAACCAAAAGCGCGGCCACAGTCCTCCCCAAAAGGAATGACGCTCCCCGGTTCCCAAGAGAAACAAAGCTGATGGGTAGATGAGGAAACTGAATAGTCGATCGATGAGCCTTCCCCGTCCCGGCAGGAGCCCGCAGTACGACTTTTCCCCGTATAATCGCCCATCATAAGCGACGAGGACGACCCTCATACTCCGCTATCTAGGGTCATCATGGAGACTTGCCTCCCCTTCGGGATGGAAAAACCACCGAGTGTGGCGACCTACGATGGCACGACCGACCCAGACGACCGTATTGAGAGCATCAATGCAATGCTCGACTACCGCCACGTCCGGGGAGCCATAAAATGCAGACTCTTCCCAATGACCCTAAGGAAGCGCGCGATGGCGTGGTACAAGAGTCTCGAACCCGAATCTATTACCTATTAAAAAGAGCTGAAGAGACAGTTTTTTAGGCATTTCACCGCCTCTCGATGACATCCGAACACGGAGGCATCCCTAGAGGCTATCATTCACGGGAATGACAAATCTCTTTGGGACTACATAGAGAGATTTAATCGAGAGGTTGTTCAGGTGTCCACGACAGATAACATGAAAAGATACCTAATCGAGCGAGGGCTACGACAACACAATGATTTTGACAAGGCAGTTGGTATCTAAAGGCCCAACACGCTAGACAAACTCCTCCATAAGGCTCAGACCTACATCTAATATGAGAATAAGGAGGCAGCCAACAACGCCCGCAACTCACGAAACTAGGAGAGTGCCAAAGTCTCCAGGCACGAGGAGTTAGTTGCTACCCGATGTGGCAGGGACAAAAGAAGATAAGACATGCCCCACAACTCCCAAGAACACTAGAGACCAACTGACTGCTTCACTGAGTACACACTACTCACTACTCCCCACGAGCGCATCTTGGCCGAGTGCATCAACTCAAATTCCAAAGAAGGGGTCCGCTTTCCGAAGCCAATGCCCC